ATGATGTTTACAAAATTTACATTGTGATGCAAAAGCACTGAATGAAGATGGAAATGATTAAATTAAATGGTATATGTGACCAGCTTGTTAAACATCATTCTATGACAAGTGACCCCTATAGTGTGTCAGTAATAGTACCTGTGATTTGAAATATATGAATTTCTATTCATATGTTGTGGAAGTATATGAATATAATTAAAAAAAAAAAAAATGTACATTTTCATTTTAATTTATTGTTTTTCAAGTTTTGTCCTATGCAGAATACCAGTAGCAGCTATGATTATGACAGACAGGTGTCAAAAGTGTTTGATGACAATTCTTGGGTTTTCAAAACCTGTTTGGTTCACCTCATGGCTCTTACTTGTTTTATGTTAATGAGCAACTGCTATCTGAGCCTGAGGCTTGTTAACCTTCACAGGCTTCAAATCAGTTATGATGTTTACTTTTATTATTGTTTGTGAAATCAAAGACATGAGCCACAGATAACAACAAAATTTTACTACTTGTAACCCAAAGAGTTAAAATTGCTGATGACCTGTTAAATATCACTCAAGCCTATTGTCTTGACTGCAATTACAAGCTGGCGGTGAATGCTGAATGATTTCTTCTCAAATAAGGAGATGACTTAAAGTGAGAGAAAACTGATTCTCCTGACATGTCAATCCTATGAATAGATCATGTAAAAATTGTGAAAGTTTTATGGAGAATAGGAGCTATAAAGAAATTGCTTTTAAAAATCAGCAAGATATCTTTGAAATTTTGGTAGTACATGTTGAGGAAAGAAGGCTTGGAAAACTTAACACTCAAACAGAGTGCCTTGATGTCAAGTGAAATGGAAAAAAATCAGTGGATAAACTGTTTGAAAAGTTTTGAGGTACAAATGGATAGACAGAAAAATGCCACAAAGGTTAATTGGCCGTAGAGGAGCAAAAAATAGAAGGAAAGTGTAGAGATCCATGATTTTCAGTTTCCTGATGGGATGGTGGTGGGGGTGCATAGAAAGCACTATCTCTCACACCACTTGTGTTATCTTTTTTTTTTCTTTTTTTGGCTACTGAACAACATTGGCATTCTCTAATAAGTAGCAATACAGTAGAGGTATGGCATGCCTTACTTGTATTGTTTGACGCTTTCCTTCCCCAGTCTGACATCTTTTATCAGCTGCATGTAGAACTGTCAATTAGTATTGACTTTTTCTCATGGATTACCATTTCCTAAGAATCACTTTAGCTGCCATAAAAAAAAAACATATCTACTTGCCATCTAAGAGCTCTTTACAAAAATAACTGATTTTGGTTGTCTTTGAAGTTTTTAAAAAAATCTCTCTCACATCTTTATCCTTCCTTCACATTCTCTTTCGCTCTCTCTCTCTCACAGCGTAGAAACCATTCTATCACTTCAGTGATGAAATAGGATTGTAAAGGGCAGGTTGACCTAAACAAGGTCAATTCAGGAATTCATTTCTTCTGTTGGTTCATAGAAAGATGTAAAGTAGCATTTAAGTTTATTTATGATGACCTGGGTCACATTTCTTAATAAGATTTGAGTTGTGTATAAAAGGCTACTTTTCTGGTGGCTTAATTTAAGACGTCAATGTCTTCAGCAGACAATATATTCTCTCAGCATAATTTAATCTTTATCCAAATTCCACATAAAATCTCTGTTGGGATATCAGCAAAAGATTATTTTATTTTCTGTTGTCTACAACTTTAACAAAAGCTTTCTTCACAGACTTACATAACTTGTCTTATATGTTATAGCTTTTGTTTTTATATGAGGAATCTGTTTTATCTGCAATTACTTTCCACTTTCCTTTATAAGATAAAGAAGAAATTTCAAACAAAATAAGTGACATGACCAATTTCTATGTCGCTATGGAGGAAAGTTTATTTCATTACAAAAACTTGTTTAAAAGGGATTTTTTTCTTTTTCACTCATTTATTTGGTTGCTAGGAAGCTTTCTAAAAGTAAACAAACTGCTGGTCAAGAGATTAATTTTTGTTTTAAATCTCCCTCAGATATTATTTTTCAATTCTTCTTAATTGACTGACCCTTGAAATATTAAAAAGGTCAGCCATTAAATAAATCCACAACTCTTGTTCACTATTTTATAAAAATCTATTCAGAAAAATTGTGCACATGTTTATAATGAAAACTTTTCATTTTAACTCTTAATAAAATGAAATTTAAATAGACATTTTTTTAATTTTATTTCAGCCAGTTCTTTTGTTGTGTGTCAAGTGAAATTTTTATTTGTCAAGTTTATCAGTTATGATGATCTGAGTCACAGACATCCCATAATTCAGCACAAGCAAATGGATCAGCTACAAACTCAGTATGGTACAAAAATGTTGAAGAAGAATAAAGAATAGCTCAACCCAAATGTTTGGAAGTGCGGATGACAATAATCCACAAATCTCATTGAATATATGAAATATCCAGATTAATTTTAGTGAATGTCTTAATAAAAAACAAAATCCATCCTAAATTGATATTTGGTCTTTATAAGAAAGAATATAATTAAGAAAAAAGAAACAATTCCAGGTATGAAATGACATTAAAAAATCTTTGTGCAAAATAATAAATTTAAATAATAATAATAATAATGAACTTAACTGTAGAAGTGATTTATGTTATCTTTTTATTTAACTGATTAACAATTACCAAGTATGGTTTAATCTTCATTGGATAGCCCAACACACTTGTAATCTTAAGTTATATATTTAACATCTGAGAAAAGTTAGAAAATTACAAAGAGAAACCTGATGATAAATATTTGAATTGGCAACTCAAGAAGCAATGCAGACTGAGAAAATTCCATTAAATCATTTTATTTCTGGCAAGTCGCTTTTCCTTGTTTTTTTATCACAACAGTTTTTAAATGACCTCTTCTTCCACCAGCAAATTGTGTAGAAATTTATTTATTTATTTATTTGTAGGTTGGGCGGTGGGGGGGGGGTAGCTTTTTAAGCTGTATCAGAGGGACTTGTCATGTTTTGTCACTGTCATCATATCAACCACATAAGCCATTATCATTATGCAGGATTTTATTTTTTCAAATACTTTTTGTCTTTCCTTCACAATTTAAAATTTCTTGAGTTGTTTGGATTACATTCTTTTGGGGGACAGGGATTACCATAATGTGTCTCAATCAGACGACTATGGAAAAAGGTAGGTGGGGATATCTTCCTAACACCTGTCAAATATTCAACCAATACTGCTTCTTCTATGTGTCACATCCCTTCAGGACATGAGTGATCATGGCTCTCCACTATTTCCTGTCTTTTTTAACTATCCCTGTTTTGCCAACCATTAAACCCAAGCCTGTTAGGCAGGGGTTACCCGATGCTTTTCTTTGTCCCTCTTGCTTTTCATATGTCCTGTGAATATCACATTTTCTAAGCCCACTTTCCTCTTTATGTGACCTAGAAATTCCAACTCTTTCTGTTAAGTATAAGTGCCCTTTTTATTTTCTGTAAAACAAACAAAAAAAAAAAAAAAAAAAAAAACAAATGGTGGCAAATCAGTTGACAACTCTATAATATCAAACCATAGAATATCCCATGTTTAAAAAAATCATTTGCATATTTGTTCTTTTGATTTATTTATTTACTCTTTCAGCTGAAGTCCTTGCTATTGCCTCTGAAATGTGGACATAGCTTATGTCAAATGTGTTGCTTTGAGGTTTCATCCAACCACCCATATTTGACATCCTTTTTTTTTTTTTTTTTTAATTTCTATAGGACACATCACAAAAAACTATAAAGAAAAAAAAAGGTATCTTATTTACCACCCCTGCCCCTTTTCCATTCATACCTGAAATGGGGCAACAGTAAGAATAATAATTAGGTCACTAACCCACACTAAACAACTGTTGGGATGTTAATTACTCAGGCCGGAATTATAAAAAATATCTTTTGTTGTACATTTGCCTAAGAAAATTCAGAGTTCCTTTGGGCAGATGTCACTTAAATGGATCAGCTATTCAAATAATTATAGCAAGGAAGGCTTCTACAATATGATTCTCATGTTCCTTTTCTTAAGCATTCTTGCTAAGAAAACATAAAAAATGACTGGTCATTAGACAGAATGTGAAAAGAGTGGATTCATGCCTTTCTGAAAAACATTAGCACAAAACCAACATCAGCAGCTACAATAAAAATTTAAGTTTTTCCAAAATAACTTTCTAACATTCAAAATAGCCATTTCTTGAAAAGTAGTAACTATAGTAGATTTTTTTTTGTCCTCCCACCTGCTTATAATAAAAAAGGCTGTGATAAAAAAAAAAAAAAATTCAAATAAATTTTGAGATCTGATGATTACACTGAAAAGAACCACTGTTACTATATATATATATATATATATAATTTTGAAAAGTAAAATGTAAAACCAAGTGCAGTGAGGTATTCTGCCAATTTTCACACAGACTTTTGATGTGTTGTAAATTTTTTTTTCTTGTATGTTCTGAGAACATCTTTATCAGACACTTTGGGTGTTGAAAATATCTGTTAACAAGAAAAAAAGTTGTTTGTACTGATAGAAACTCAATAAGTGAACTACAGACATGAGACTTGTGTTTATTTGAAGATTATGTGGGGTTATTCTCTAATTAAAGACAGAATTCAATCTTGACTTTAATGCCTTGAAATGTTTACATTGAAAACAAAACAAAAATTTCCCTTATTAAATTATGTCTGCATGTAAAATTCACTGAAAAGCTACATTAGAGACGCATAAATATAGAGAGACTTATAAGAAGAACATTTTAGATTAGGTGATGTCAAAATCATCCTCTCCTCCCCACCAGCGTTTCTGAATGTTTGGTCTGCAAGCAAACGTTAATGAATAGTGTAATATATATTTTAATATGATTTTGTCTATTGTTCTTTTTAGGAAATCATTGTTTCTTTCTTTGTTTAAGATGATTATTCTTTATCTACTTATTTATATGAAGACTTCTTAATTTTCAGGGTTTCTTTCGTCGTTGCATTACCCAAGGTATGTCGCACAAGTGTGCAAATGAAGAGAAATGTGAAATTACTCCATTCACCAGAAATAGCTGCCAGTATTGTCGTCTTAAGAAATGCTTTGCAGTTGGCATGTCAAGAGAAGGTAAGGAAACCACAAAATCAAATTTGATTCAACTATCATCTTTTTTTCTATTTTGTTTTCTTGCCTTTCATAAATTTTGATCAAATAAGAAGTTATATTTCAGGCCAGAAGATTGCATGAAACAGACTGTCACCAATCATTGTTGACATCAGTGTCCACTTATATACTTACACATGCTCTATTCCTGGGATTGAGCACTTTTACCCATAAATATAACCTATCATATATATATATACACACACACAAACACACACACAAGGTGTCGGAAAGATTTTGGCCCAACCCACTTCCCAACATCTGGCCAAATGCCCAAACTCCAAATGATTTTGAAGGATTTCTTGACTTGACCAAGAATTTTTTTTTTTTTTTTGCACAGATGTGCAAGCGGAATAATGGATAGTGGCTTAGAATGGGCAATCAGAGAGCAGATCTTGAATTACAGATGAGTTTGCTACATTCGCTTATATGATAATCTCTTAGGGAAATGTATGACTCGATCTCTTCTCCCCACCAGTTATGGCTTAAATTGAAGGACAGATTAGAGGCTCTTTAACCTTGGTTGGCACCCAGTGTAGAACAGCTTTGAATTGAAAACCAGTGGATGACTATTTGGGGAACTCCTGCCACACTAAGTGCACCAGTTCTCTGTATACACTTTCTTTCAGAAAGTGTGTATGATCCTGCGCAAGCCTTCATCACTGTAATCAAATTATGTGCGGGTAGTCTGATTGTTCAGTTCTCTGAACTGAATATTTGAACCCTCTTATGTTGAAGATGATGGAAGAGTTCATTTATATATATATATATATATATATATATATGAATGTAGTTTAACAGATTACAGAAATTATATTGTTTTTTGTAATTTTCTTGAATTTATATCCTAGAACATCTCCCTTTAAAAGAGAAAACTGAATTCAGTAAAACCATTTTCCTCATATATTCATTTCTGAGAGTTCATGTGCAACATTCCAAGAAATACTCTGTTTTTCATATCGCATTTTTGATGATCCTAGTTCTTTTAAAAGTGATGCTGTTGTTTAGTTTCTCTTTCACCTTGTATTTTAAAGGCTCATCATCAACAATTGATGCTTGTCCAATTTACATCTGGACTTTGTTTAAATTAATAGAAGTCACTCACTCTTTCTTTCTTTGTAATTTTTGTGAGCAGCTTTATTTATTAGTGCTCCTCCCAAATAGCCAGAATCTCAATATTTGAATCTGCCAGACTCATAGTATTGATATTCACACACACACACTATATATATATATATATATATATATATATATATATATATATATATATATAATGTGTAAGAATAATATTAATAAAGTTAGGTCATATACTCTTTAGGTGTGTCTATAATAAGACTTTTATAATAAAAGTTTAAAATAAACATACATTTGATCCATTGTTTTAAAGAAACTATTAACAAAAAGGACACTTTTATTTAGAATCATAAAGTGACAGTTAAAATTTCTAGGCTGCATGATGAGAAAAATCGGCTTAGAGAATTGAACGCTCAACAGATATATTGAAGGCAAGTCACCAAACAATAAAAATGGTTGGCAGAACAGAGACTGGAAGGGATAGTAAAAGGAAGAAATATTGATTAGAGAAATAAAGGAGAGGAAGCTGTGGAGAGCTCTGATTGCCCATGTCAGGAAAGAACAGAGCATATAGAAAAAAACCATGAGTCAGAAGTTTTTTGAAGAAATTTTGGAGTGGAGCTGGTTGAAATTCTGAAAACCCAAGTTGAAGTAATGTATCATTTTTTGATATGTTGCACCATTACTCTGAGCAAAACTTCTTTTCTTTTTCAAATTTCTGCAGCATTCGGTTAATTGTGCTGAATTTTTATTTTGTGTATCAACTAGAATAAGAGAAAGAGATAAAAGGCATGCACATCAGTGTACACACACACACTGCATTTCTGTCTGTCTGTCTCTCTCTCTCTCTCACACACACATTCTGGCAGAAGACTAAAAATAAAATTTCATAGTTAATAAAACAAAAAAAATCATGGCTTCATCGACTTAAAAAAAGTTATGTCTCTCCAACATGAAGATGATTCATTTAAAACTTAATAGCTTTGCTAAGTTCTTTTAAGACAAGATGAAAAATATATAACTTCTTCCAAGGTTAACAAAGAGTGTAACAGCTTTTGTACTATTACTACCACCTGCATAGCAAAAGTAATTATGGGAGAGTGATTTGCTAAGGTCTTCACTTATTCATTCATTTTTTTGTCAACTACATATGCCAATGGAGCATCCTTTTTGTTAAAATATTTCATGGTACAGGGAGGTGTAGATTCATGCCTTTCTCAAATAGATTAATTCAAAGTTTGCTATTTTCTGTACTGATAACCATTACACCTCCAAAATGTGTGTGTGTGTGGTCAGGGGTCCTTTTGTATGAAGGATAGTAAATAGGTGAAATAATATTTATCTTTCAGGTGCCATGTCCCTTTAGGATGTTTGGTGACATTAATCATAGCAGGTGAAAAATCAAAATTTTCAAATGCAGTGTCAAGCCTTCACAATATTGGAAAATTGTACATCACAATATTTCCACTTACATTACTCTTGTATTTGGACTAATGTTGAACTTAATTAATCATTATATCCCTAGAAACAGATATTTATATAAAAGCCTAGATTTCAAATAATGATATTTTTTTTTCTCTTCTCAAGGCAAGTAAAAAAACTCTCCAATTTGGGAGAATGGCACAAACACAATCTTCAAAACCCTTATTGGAATTTCTGCTAAATTTAGTTTAAAACTTTCAGGAAATGAATTTTCAAAAAATGATCAAAGTTGTTATCAAGTGAATTACTTTTGTCTGTTGTCTATTTCTTTTGATTTTATTTCATGTTTTCTTAATAACAATAAAATGAAATAAGTTTTCAGATTCTGTGATGGCTTATTTTCATTATTACACATTTTGGTGAGTTTTTGTCTTTTTATTGTTTTTTATCAAAAAAAACAAAACAAAAAACAAACAAACAAAAAATATTGGTATTTATATTGACCAGCTCCTCAAATAAAAGATGAAAATATGAATAAAAAAATGTGAAATAGCAAAGAAAACCTTATCTGAAAATTTTAGTGTTAGCATTATTATTGTCATGTTGATCCATATCATTTGAGAATATCTGTCTATATTTCTGAGATGAGGTATTGTAACTATTTAGATTGTTTGGACTGTTGTCCTCATCTTTGTCATATTCATGATGTTGGACATGTTACAAGGTACAACAGCCTGTGCAAGACCTTCACGCAAGGCACTGTTGAAGGTGGGCATAGAAGGGGATGTCAACAAAAACTGGTTGGACAATGTCAAACAATGAACAAGTATGATTCTACCAGAATTGCTGATGGCTGTCCTTCATTGATAGACTATTGTGGTGGACATTCAGTGTGTCTTTTGCTTTCAGATACCTCCCCCACCTCCATTACAAAAGCCAAGGGATGATGATGATGTATACGTTGATTGCCTTCAGGTGACTGGAATTTCAAATTGAACTCTTTATTTCGTCCACCAGGGTATATTATTATTGTTCCATGGCTCTTCCGGATGCCTCAGTTATCTCCCTTTTACTCAACTCTCCAAGTTTTTGTTCACAACTGCAGTAGCCAGGTATTGAATTCACAACTCTTTTGAAATTCCAGTCACCTGAAGAAGGCTGGAGCATTGTGAATATGACAATAAAGATGAGGACAACAGTTCAAATAATGTAAATAATCATTTGAGAAGTTGCCTGATCAAGTAAAAGAAAACGTTCAAACCTCTTGACCTTCAGTCTTCTCCTCTTCCGACGACTATTGAACAGAACTGGCAAGTAATGTTAGATAACTTCATTTTAGTAGATTCTATTTGCTGGAGGATAGATGCCAGCTCTTGCTTTCCAATAAGGAGTTTACACCAGTGTTAAGTTCTCGGCACTTTGCCAGCACTTCAATCTTCTATGCAGCCGTCAGCTTTGCAGCTGCTGCTGCTGTCATCAAGTATTTGACATTCTGCCTGATATTAACGTTTTGCAACTGCACTAACATCAAGTGCATTTCTATTAAAGAGTTCTCTCTTCTTAATAAAGTTAACCTTAACCTTACTTGAACTGCATACATTTAATTATTTATGTTATTTTTATTCTGGATAATTTTACAAGTACTACAATATTTGTACTATGAAAGAAAGTATAAAATTTTCCAGAGATCTTTCCTTGTTTTAGCTTAGTTTTGCAACATGGGAATTGGAAGATTGTATTGCACCAATGTTGTGTGGAGTGTAGGCTTGTTTGCCTTGAAAATTGTTATTTACAATGCTGACCTTGGACACATTTTTCTAAACAGCCAAAGAGGCTGCAAATATAATTTTCTAAATGTATTTTGGGGTATAAAATATTCTCCACACTTTTTTTTTTTTCACTAAAACACAAAAAAAATTGTTTTTTTTTTTGGGGGGTATTATAAAGTTGAGAGGTTAATCCAAATGTTGTAGATTATCTTCATATGCACTTAACTCAACTCTATAATCTGTCCTTATAGAACTCTGTTTGTCTGTCTGTAATATTAAAGTTGATAGGTGTAAAATAATTACACCATTGTAAAAAGTAAAATTATTGCTCAATGTTAGAAAAACAGTAATTTCAGATTGAATTAAGAGAAATTGTATAGCAACTCTGTGTGTGTGTATATATATATATATATATATATATAGAGAGAGAGAGAGAAAGGGAGCTTTTATTAGTAGTAATTGTTTTTATGTATGGCATTAGTTACATCTTAATTTTACTTTGTTTATTTTAATATTCAGAAAGTATCAAATGTGGATAATAAAATACAGGGCAACATCAAATTTTTGATTATTTTTTTTTTTTTATTTTTTTTAGTACATTAATGCAATTGCAAAATTCCCTAAATATTGCTATCTCAATTTTTGACAAAATATGTAAACAAGTAGTGCAATAATAAATGTAAATGGTGGGCGTTCTAT